GCAAGAGGAACTCCCAATCACGCCCCAAATAATGACCTCCTCCACTTCAGCCGCATGCCACCTTCGGATAGAGAAGGGGCGTAGTGTTAAATAGTTTCAGTTAGCACGTAGCACCTAGCAGCAGTTGCTCCAGTGTCAATGACATTGAACCGCAACACAGCCGTTGCCGCTGCGCCCGCGCTTTTCTTGCAGCGTCACGTGGCAGCCGACAGCGGAAGGCGGGGCTTGCGGACGAAGGTGTGGATTGCGGGTCGAGCGAGCTTCTAGCGCCTTTGTCGCGCACTTTCAAGCCGCAAAAAGGGCGCGACATCAACGCTTGTCCATCTGTCTACTACATTGGTGATGATAGTAGACAAGTGTAAATATGAGGCCGCTGCCATTTCCCGACGCGATATCCGCCCTGCATCCATCTTTGGCGCGTTGAGAAGTCGTCAGTGTTGACAATCTCTGGTCCCGCTTCCATATAGAGCGTTGACTGTCACACGTTACTTGTAGAAAATAACTTCTCCAAAGCTGCTTCGATGTAATGAATTCAGGTGGATTCGCTGTTCTCTCCCTCATGACACACACGGCCATTGAGAAGGTGATGATGAAGACAGCGATCAGCTACAATGCCACTTCATATGTGAATCACACCATAGAGGAACTTGACACAGCAATGGACGGTTTCAACGGAACTAATATGTGGGTGGCGCCGTAACAAAATACTGTTTCGTTGTACATTCTTCTAACAAGGTGACGGGTACCCGACAGGAGGCCCGTCGCGCGGCAAGAAGGCAGAGTCAGCGGACGAGTCGCGCGCGTACTGTAGGATTTCGCGTCAAGTTAAATAGAATGTCCCATTGCACGTCCTACATCGCACATCACGCGCTGCGACTCGTCCGCTGACTCTGCCTTCTTGCCGCGCGACGAGCCTCCAGGTACCTTATGTGACTATTTCGTTCAAATACCGCTAGTGGTCTCTTGCATCACTGCCTGTAGCAAATAGCTCTCGTAACTTCCTACAACTCTCCTTCGTCTTTTCCCTGCGAACTGTCGCAGCAAATTCATTTGGAACTTTCTCAACCTAGACCCTTTTTGTCGTCCATATGGAACCTTATTATCGTCAATCCCGTTTAGGCTGGGCGGGGCTGTTTGGTAATGCTCATACGTCATTTTGTTCCACTTGCGAGAAAATTAAGTCACTATTTGGACAGAGAGAGTTGCGAGATACATACGGGTAGGGAGATCATGATTTTGACCGCGTGCCAAAACTGGATCACTACATACATGCGTCGAATCTAACAATACATACTTACCTTTACTGCGGATGCGGCAGACTTATGACATCGCAGCGTATGTGCGGTGCAAGTATTATCACGCGAATCGATATCGAGATCTCTTGACTCATGTCTCTACCAAATGAGCCTCTGTTTTATGCTTTCATTAAATTTCTTCCTCAACGTTAGCATCCGTTCTTCAGTCTTGGGAATGGTACATCGCTGATTGAAGAAATTACAACGGAAATGTGGACGGACGGTGTCAGTCCTGTGAAGGAGATACACGTTGCTACTACCATTATTTTCTTCGCTGGTTGTATACAGGTTTGTGTACTATATAAATTACTACAGCTCCAAGGTAACAAATCAGGAACTTTTCAGTTAATTTATAATCCATTAAAGGAATCTTCCACGGAAAAAGCTCCGCCTCCATTACCACAGAAAAACGATACCTTAGGCCCCTAGCCTCATGAGCATAGCAAAAAGAACGGAACATAAGCGTTAGTTTCGATAATACTAATCCTACACACAAGACAAAATGATCACTCTTTCCGTGGAAGATTCCTTTAAGGTATCGTTTTCTGTGGTAATGAGGGCGGAGCTTTTTCCGTGGAAGATTCCTTTAAGAAACTTTACGGCAAAATATCCCCTAGATATCCTTCGTATAAAATTAGAAGCAGGTCCTCTTCC